ATGTTATACATTTAAGCAGAAAAAATATGGTGTAATCTTGTTAATTTTTTCTATATCCCTTAGTTTTATTAGGTTATTAATTATATATAATAATTCCTAAATAACATAAAAATTCATTTAATGTTAATAAATATAAATTATTGTTATTAAATATAATAAATATAAATAAATTTAAATAAACATAAATTCTAAAGCTATCTGTGATATGTCATATCTATCTGTGTTATTTTAACCAAGGCTTCGTTCGTAGTATATACGCCTAAAAATAACCTAATATACCGAGACCTAACGTAGCTTTCTATTGGTGATAATAGTAATAAAATAACTTTTAGTTTTGACTAATAGTGTAAATACTTCACAATAATATAGTACATAAATGCGAAAGATTGCTAATAATAAGCGCTCCTTCAAGCTATATAAGCTCAACAGATTTCAGTGAATGGAGATGGCTTTACGCAGATAATTTCATTACCTAAGCTATTACAATGCATTATAATAAAAGTAAGGATAATTAAATTTATGTTTTGATTAAATCTTAGAGGTACTAAAGGATATTTACGTATATGACTGTAATACATATAATGAGTTCTTTTGTTTCAAGTCGTATTTCTTTATGGGACTCGACACGTATTCATATAGTTCAACAAAGCCAACAAAACATCTTCCACAGATTAAAATCATCCGGGATTTAATATGGTATTACGGACAAAGATCTGTGCGGGGATCGCTGAGATGGGACAAGCTTCATTGTGTCACCTTAATTGTTATTATACTGAATTAATTTGGTAGCAGGCTTCACTGGATTACCTTTTGTCAGTACCGGTACATATTATGGCAACGTTCATCTATTTTATATGTAATTTTGCTTGACAACTATGAATTAAGAGTTACATGCTTGAGGCTTGTTTTTGCTGCTAGTTTACGTTTATATTATATGTAATTCCCTTTAGCTTAATTAAAATATTTTTGAATGAACCAAAAATGCTTACAGTTTTTTTTTAAATAATGTTCACCAAAAAACAATTTCGGCCAATAAATAAAATATAGCATCTGTAGCTGATCTAGGAAACCTGTGTTTTAGGTAACAGCACCATCTCTCCAGTAAGGGAAAGATATCTATCTATCTATATGCATTTTTCTTTAACCAGTAAAAAGTGGTAATAAAACAAATCATATCACATTGCTTAGATTTTGCATATTTAATTTAAAATGTTCCTTTCTTATATATTTCTTTGACACAATACTAAAGGCAATGTAATAGCTAGATCAAGTTAGAAATGTTCCACGAGATGGGATGGAGTGTAGTGCTTACGTTGAGTATTACGATCCTAACAGCACCACTCTAGGCGTCCGAGGTGACCTAGTAATCTCTTCATACTGTCTGGTACAGAATGTAGGAAAGTAGCGATTATTTCTAAATAATCAAAAATTGAGTATTTATACCATTTAAAAAAAAAAAATTGACACGAACCTCTTCCTTTTGGAAGTCGGTTAAAATCATAATCCTATAACACGTATTTATAAGAACCTCTAAAAAGAAATGCTACACAATGATTATATAATAAAGTGGTTAATAATTAGCTGTCCAAGGAAATAACGTACTTACATAACACTATTACGTACAGTTCCTTTTATTTAAATATAACCCACACACTAAACATTCGTAGAAAAAAATATATTGAAAAATAGTAATATGTTCATTGTAAACATTAAATAAAGTAAATTTTTTCCGTTTTTATTATTTATGAGATATTATATTATATTTGTATCTTGAAAATTTTCACCATTTTGGACTATGGATTACTAATAACATGATAATGTCTACTTCAATGTATTTTAACAATTTTATACACATTGTAACATTTTTTTTCTTAGAAACATGTTCTAGAGTCGAGACGTCTATCTGTCGTTCGGTCGTCCGCACTTATGTAATTTTAGCAAGGCATTAAACTTTATCTGTTTGGCTAACGACATGTCCCGTAACCCGGCAATACCGGCCGACAAGGGTCGTACGTGACCCTGCAAGATAACCCATTCCTACGTGAGACGAACTAAACGACCCTCGATAAAAATAACACAAGAATATGGATAAAATATGCACAATTGTGGCTAGTATTGAAATGTAATTGAAAAAAGCTTACTTATTATAGGCTTATAGGATTTGTAGAAACTGAGCGGTGAAAACAGTGTTGGAAGATAAGATTTCTTTTTTTTTAAGTTACAGTAACCAAAATTGAAAATGACCTTTCTGATTAAGGCCAACTATTCTAATTAGTATGTATAAAAATTAATTATTTATACATAGGTAAACTACGTGAGTATAGTCGGGGGAAACTATAGTAAAACTATATACATATAGGTATGTGCTGATTCACTCATCTCAAAGCAACTAGACTAAAATATATGCTTAATATTAAATTGTGTTATAAATTAACGTCCAGAAAAGCAATTTCGCTAAAAGAATCAATTGTCATCCCGCTGTCGGCGATGAAAGTTGAATAAATGCTGACAAGCCGCTCGCGTTGGTCCCCTCCGATACAAAACGTATCACTTCCACTACGCAAAGTGTATTAGAAATGACACTGTGACTCGGACATTGAATTAACAGTAATTTGACGTAACATCAAGATAATTTTAGTTTACTTTGATCTTGTTGTTTCTTTCTTGTACATACATACAATATTGTATAGACTTCTCGAATAACATATAACATTACATTCTATTATAAAATATAACAAAAAATACAATTTTAAGAAATAATATAAAAATGTAAAAATTCTGTATGAATTTGTATATATTTACAATTTTAGCTTAAATGAACCATATATAATTAAAAAAATCATTTAATCTATTTAGGGCTAACTTTGAATATTAAAGTAACAACGAGAAAAAGGGGGAAAAATTGAATACGAAGCCAAATTATTACACAACCAACGACATTAAGACCCAAACAAATTCCAAATCAAAACCATAAACCAACGAGTGTTCCCGAATAAGCATTAGCATACTGATATGAAAAATACTTCGTTTCTCGATACATCACTGTACTACGCGTTCACTGAATGCTTTGTATGGCACACGGTTTAGCTGTCAGCAACGGAACTAGAACAGCCGGCGACTTTCATTTGAACCCCGCCATTGTTCTGAAGGCTGTGAGCCCAGTGTAACGGAAAATTAAAAAGGCAATTTCCTAAATGAGACCACTCGCAATACAGGGTTAAACACGTCACGGAAGATAAGCTTTATATGACACCCTCACTTTGCCAAATATAAATTCGTTTAATGAATTTTTGGTAAATGTAATTACTTTTTTATAAGCATACTTTGATGAAATATTTAAGGCCAAAAATTAAAGTGCGTAAATTATATGATAAAAGTTTTACAAAAAGATTTCAAGGAAATTTTCCATTACTTAATCTACCGCTTGACATTTAAGTTTAAGGTAATCTGAGAATTACCTCTCAATTAATCACATTTGATTCATTGCAGATACTCGTAATTATAAATTTATACAGTCAAAATATAAAAAGTGTATTTAAAATATTTAAAAATTAAATTGTAAATGATATAAGTAAGATACATATATAAATAAATAAATATGTTGGGACATTAACACATAACACCATCTAGTTTCATGGTAAGCTACGAGGCTTGTGTTATGGATACCAAATAGGTGATACCCTACACATATATGTATAACTTTAAATACATACATATTATAAATATAAACATCTATGACTGGAGTACAAATATTCGTGCTCATCACACAAATGAATGCCCCCAGCGGGACTCGAACCCGCGACCGTTGGCACAGCAAGTAGGGTCACTACAAACTGAGCCAAACGTGTCGTCAAATGTATATGAGTAAAAATTCTCCAAACTGTAGAAAAAAATGTTAACAAGCATTATGTAAATTGTTATGAGTTATCATCCCACATTTAGTTATAAAACACGAGATTACGATATATTAATGACCTTGATAAAGCATGTTAAGTATCTTAGTTGGGGGCGTTAATAAACGTTTAACATGTACAATTTGATACGTAAAGTATAAGCAATATTTTATGTACGGTAAAGTTGTTTGAAAACAATATATAATAAATAAATATGTTGGGACATTCATACACAGCACCATCTAGTTCCATGGTAAACTACGAAGCTTGTGTTTTGGATACCAAATAGTTGATACACTATACATATAACTTTAAATACATACATATTATAAATATAAACACCCATGACTGGAGTACCAACATTCATGCTCATCACACAAATGAATGCCCCCAGCGGGACGCGAACCCGCGACCGCTGGTACAATAAGTAGCGTCACTACAAACTGAGCCAAACGTGTCGTCAATATATAATATAGGTACCTACTACCAATGTAAATTCCGTTATTACGATATTAAATAAATTCGATACGTAAGATTCTGTAAGCAAATAACATTTTTCTTTCATTTATTTTATTCATCCATTCATTTTGATTTTTGCATTAAATATCTAATATTCATTTAGAATTCTTGAACAAAAGTATAGTTTTACTTGAATTTACTTTATTTGATTACAACTGTTAATTACTTACAACAAGAATTTATAAACAACTTTTACACAAAAATATATAAACTTTTATGAAATAAAAACTATTTATTTTTATTTTAAACTTGCAAAATAACTATTAATATTATGCTACAACAATAAAACCGTTTAATTCGTTTAAGCTTTGCAGTTAATCACAGATTTAAACTAAGCTTCTTGGTATCATTTGTAGCCGTCGTAGTAATAATTATCTCGGCCAGTGGCGCCGCGGTCAACGGTTAACTGCCTTTTAAATAAAAGAATAACGATATGCGACCGGATTTCTAAAGGTTAAGACTGATGTTTACACATACATACATTACGGTTTTAGTCTCGGTTAATTGGACAATTTATTAAAAGTCTACAATCGTATAGGTTGTAGTGACAATGATTTAGTTAATGAGTAAAGCTGAAGCTACAAGTCACGAAGACTCACATAGTAAAAGATTCTTCCAACTCCCTCCTAGGGCTCGGAGGCAGCGATGCAGTCTAGGCGTGGGGTTAACGGGCGGAGCGCGAGGGATGGGTAATCTCACATCTCCTTCTGAAGAACTCCGACCCAGCAATGATGATCCTCTGTCCCTAGACAAAGATCTACGTCTACCGAAAGGCGCACCTCTAACTGTTGCGAAATTTTCCTCACATGTAACACTAAACGTATCCATGGGTATGCCTTCCGGCTCCCTTCTACTTCTTACAGAAAATGTCCTTCTAAAGCCACTCGCCAAACCTTCCATTGTTTTCCGCTTCGGTTTAGTTATCTCTTCCGAGCTTATAACAGTTATATCATCCAAATCGCGTGGATTATAAGATCTATGACTTCGGGGTTGTTCTAACCCCGATAAATCTTCGATACCGCCATGCCGATATCTAAGTGGCCTTCCCCTATCTATTATACCGAGTTCATCGTAGCTTCTGTACGTCGAGGTCCGACGAGGTGCGGGCGGACGACCTGCTCTATCAATCGTCATTTTTATGTTTTGTCCTTAGTGGTAACCTGATGAAGAAATGCTAATATTTAGCATTGAAAATAATTTTTGGACTTGCTTTTGATAGTCTTGGCTTGCAGTGACCGAATTTTCATGTATTTTTTATAGAAATAATTCAAAAAGTATAGTAAAATGTATACGTCAAAACACATATTTTAGCAATTTAAAAACTTTCTAAAAACAATTTTCTATACTTGAAGCTACATTAGCTTCTACTGTTAGCACCAGCTAGCGACATTGAAGATTATATATTATATTTTGGGAAATGCCTGTTACGTTCGCTTAGTGTTTAATTTGCGTGTGTGTTGATCATTCAACATAACAATGGCGTGACTTGTCCAACTTTTCAAGAAACAACATAATAAAATTTACTTCCCATAGCCTAAACATCAAGTTAGTCTTCGACGTTGTAAAGTTAATTGGGACAAAGCCTGCTATTATGACTTCACAGAAGGAAACTACTCTGAACTAAAAATATCCCTTACAATAATTTCTACTGCGTAAATCGATACTTAGTATTACTGAATATACCTAAATATATTTTACAATTAATAGTATCTGATATAATAGATATAATAGAGTTTCAAATGGAATTTTCTAAGTATTTACAGCGATATACAGTTTGAATAGCGGGTCAACCACTCGAGCCACGAATTCAAGTGGTTAATTGTCAACGATCGAGTATAAACAGCCCAAGTTTATTACTTAACTGTAATGCTGGTACGCATTATTCACAGAAATACTCTACGAGTCAGAGTTATTAAATAAACCTATATTCGCCTAGGCTATAATCATGAGTAATATTACAAATGTGAAAGTGTATTTGTTAGCTTATTCTCATACTTTTCCGGGCACAAAAACTACTTACTTACTTTCGGATTTGATGATAATAAAAAAAGTAAATAAAGAGCGTTTAAAAAAGTTCAGGAGCGTTCGAGCGGGTGAGAGACCAAATTTTAATGTAGAAACCGCTGGACGGATTTGTTTGAAATTTAATATACAGACAGACCATGAGCTATAGTACCACATAAATAATTGTTCTTAATAAAATTTGTCAAACCGTGGCTCTGCCTGTATTATTACAATATAAAATATAAAAAAGACAATTAAGAGCGAGGCAAAATAAGTAATTCACCGATTTATAATAAAGTATTTTAATCTTTCAACGAAGTATTAAGTAAATACAAATCCCGTAGTAAATATTTCACGCAGACAACATGTTTATAATAAACTCTATAATATAAGAATATACAAGAATGGAAATTCATATGTCAAACATTTAAGCCAAATTAGAAACGATAACATACCGCACCCATAAACCTCTTGTCGACTGAATGATGTTTTCCAAACAATTACAGAATTAGAGCTTCCTGCTCGCTCGTTAAAAACGGATTTGACCTGCTCTAGACAGCGGTTTGGGTACGTCCACTGAGAAGTTCCAATTGAAATAATAGAACCGAAAATTAACGTAAGGAAATATGGATATTTAAGGAATTAGTTTATTATAGTACTAATTTTATAATTTTTCTTCTTTTCTTTATTGTAAACTAGAAAAACAAATCTATCCGACGGCATCCGTACATTTTTCCGGGATAAAAAGGAGTCATGTGTTATTCTGATGTATAAGCTATATTATTGTAAAGTTTTATTAAAATCCATTCAGTAGTTTTTGCGTGAAAGAGTAACAAACATACATCCATACCCACAAACTTTCACATTTATAATATAAGTATAGATAAAGAGAATTGTTTTAACTTGATTCTAAGAAGAAAACCTATAATATGTTTACTAAGTGTTACGATAAAGCTAACGATGTGATATCATATATGGATTGGGAGAAAATTATTGAATCGTCATATCGCACATTCAATTGTTTTACCCACTTTTACCCATCGAACCCTCCGCTTATCTGATAAAAGGGAGTAACAAATTAAACGTCATCACACTTACTGTCCAGTGTTTAAGTCTTAACACAAAAAACATGGAAAATACACAATTTCAAAATTTCTATAATCCTGATGTAATGATAATATTATGTATCTCATGAAAAATGCTCAATTTTTTCAAAACCTCTTAAAAAAAAGATGTACATTTAATACAAAATATAAATATTACACTAATAACATATACTATATATATACTATATATATATATATATATATATGCGTTTTTTTATTAAGAGTGTTTGTTACGTCTTTACGCTAACCGCTCAACAGATCAAGGTGCAATTTGGAGATATGTAGCTTATATCTAAGGCACGTCTCTACCACAAAAGCGAAACCTTTTAACTTATGTTTTAATTAAAAAATAAGCTACACGTTCTATAGAGATATTTTAAAGACGAAAAAATCCTTTACAATTTAATACTTTAAAAATACTTTCTTAGATTTACGATAATATTTGACATTTTAAATAAAACTATATTATAGTAGGGGAGCCCAAGAGGGGATTTTCTGTAGTTACTCGAGCGCGGCAGATTAACATAAAAGAGATTACCTTGCACTCTATTGAGTACTTTCACCACAATATAAGTCTTCTATATAAAGGGGCGCGTCTAGGGAAGCCGATTAAAATATTTAAAAAATGTTTTGATAAGGTAAAAAAATAAATAAAAAATCATCATAAACTTTATAGTCGATTTTTGCCTCTTCGGCTTGTGCAAATCGGCAGATTATTGAATTGGACACTTTTCAGGATGTGACTAGCCTACCACACCTTAATCTGACGGTTTCAAGTATTTCTACCTTATCAAAACATTTTTTAAATATTTTAATCGGCTTCCCTAGACGCGCCCCTTTATATAGAAGACTTATATTATGGTGAAAGTACTCAATAGAGTGCAAGGTAACCTCTTTTATGTTAATCTGCCGCGCTCGAGTAACTACAGAAAATCCCCTCTTGGGCTCCCCTACTATTATGGGATTTTTTCGCGGATTTTTGTTTGATTTTTGGATCCCGACGTTTCGAATGCTCAACAGCAGTTTCTCCCGTGACCAAGATTGCTATCACATAATACTTTAAAAGTTTAAACATAAATTAAATATACACTACGCTAACAAACTATAATTTACTATAAAGCATATAGATCGTCATTATATAAGACGTTGAATAATTCAAAATTTAGCCTTCCCGTTTGTATTGCACGAGACTAAATTCCACTGAAATTCGGCACGGCTGTTAGATGTTGCCTGCGGCTTCATTTGCACTTTGAAAGTAATATCTCTACCGATGTTTGCTATAAATCAAACATTTAACAGGTTTGTGGTGGTGACGTACAGTGGAACTTGGATTATTACATATTCACAAACAAAGAAAAGTAAGTTACGATCGCCTTGATGAAAGCCTTTTTGGTTAAATGCTTTTATTTTCTGTGCACTCTCTGCTATGTATTTCAGATTTTATTGTTTGGGGGAACAGCTTGAAAAATCTAGACATACACACACGCAAATTTTTTATCTTTTATGGCATTGGGGTAAGGACCAATAATTTTTGTACTAATTAACTGTTTAAAAGCACCTTTGATTTTTATTATTAATGGAATAATAATTTTCATGTAATATCTTGATATATCTCTCTTTCAATTAATTTTAACCAAACATAATATACCTTATTAAATAATTGGCGTACATTTTAGATAGCAAATAGTGTGGACAGGTTAGAGTTCATTGTAACATTGCGTGTTGCGTAGCGTGTCTTTATGGTATTACGAATGGTTTACGAGCCAGGAAGACCCTCGCGATTCAAGTCGAACTGTGTCAACTTATGTCATCGTAAAATAATAGGAAACTATACGCAATGTGACAGGATGGCATTTTATTGGGGCATACATTTCTGAATGTAATTTACATATACTTGTACTGTACATACATTGTTTAATTATTACCATTATAAAACATACATATTTCTAGAACAATAAAATCTTAACACCTCGAGGTAAATTTCTAAGAAATTAATTGAATTTCTAAGAAATCTATTGTTAACTGACACGCCGGCGTGTCCGTGGTAGTGGAGGGGTTAACTAGTTTAAGTTATACATAACATGTGCATCCAAACTGCGTTTGCGCATATTATATGTAAACATTAACAATCTTTTAGTCATAACACATCCAATGGCAAGAGCACTCAAAAATTGAAAGTAAGTAGCTAAAATTAGTGATGTAAGAACACTCGAGTCGAAACTAAACAACTCAAAATTTGAAGGACGTGTTTGAATAAGCCGTTTAATTTTGAAACAGGAAGCTGCATTTAGTCTACAAATCGTACAGCTAAAACTGTAAATGCTTTTAAAGAATGATTTGAGAAGGAAGAATGAGTAAAACTCATTTGTTTTAAAAACTTTTCTTCTGTTAATCGAATTTTAAATTTTATACTATATAAATGTGTATTGCTATTTACAATGATTAAGATAATATTTTTTTTTAAATTACATACCTACATACAAATAAACTGCCAATGGTAGGTACTATGTAATAAGTTTTCTCAAATCATAGACGTAATGCCTAATTGAAGTCATATTTAGAACTATAGTAGGGTATAAGAGATGAAAATTATTATTTTTAAATTAAAAATTTGATAGAAATATATAATAAATATTATTTTATTAATTTAAAAATAATTATTATTTATTTATAATATTAAAATTATATTCTTACAATCTAGGTCGAATTGTTATATATTGCAATAATAATATTTAAACCATAAAAAAAATTACTGAAATGTAGAAGTGCAATGGCAAAGAAGCTGATATTGGAAATAAAGGTGGAAACATATTGTAAAATTTTATATACGAAATGAAAGGTCACAGACCAATATAAATATGGAAAATAAAGTTCATGCAAATTGTAGCAGACATCTTTTTTATATATATAATAGCGTCTAGACTTTCACTTGGCTTTTATAGTAGAATTGATGGGAGAATTAAAAATAAACATAACAGTTTTAACTTTAAGCCAAAAAACTCATGACACAGACAAAAGTTTAAT